TATGTGGAAAGAGACAGGGTACCTGAATTATTCTGCACTGTATACACAGGGATGTGGAAAGAGACAGGGTACCTGAATTATTCTGCACTGTATACACAGGGATGTGGAAAGAGACAGGGTACCTGAATTATTCTGCACTGTATACATATTTCTCCTGTTAGGCATCACCTTAAACTCATTCCCTTCTTTTCTGGCCCGCCGTTGACCCAGCTCTGAGGATTCCCTGGAGAAAAGAAGTTTAAAAAGAGTGAGTCTTCTAAACAAGAATCCCTTTCAACTCTTTTTCTTTAAAACAGTCAATCTCACATAACACTTTGGCCTCAGAGAAAATGGCAATACCTACGAGAATGAATTACTCTGAGCTTCCGCCAACCGCAGCCTCTTGGCATGATTCTTCCCTTGATAGTGGGCCTGAGCCACAGCCGGAGAACTGAAGGACGCATCGCAGAGCTTACAGTAATCATTCTCTGTGGCCAGGATCACTCGGCCTCCTGGCTTAAAGGAGCCCATCTGACATAAAAGACAAGAAGAAACAAGGTTAAAAAAATATGGAGCTTCCTTCTTCTCCTCAAAGGTCTTTCTAAGAGCTGAAAAGCAACCAGAGGATGCGGCATGACCACAAGCATTAAGCTTCATAAAGAAAATAATTCGCTGCAGGAAAACAAAAAGGCTGGGAGATACTTAACCTTGGTTTTGCATTATAATCACTTAGGTAACAACTTAGTGAACGGCTCGTTGCTGTTGCCACTGAATAAATTTTTTTAAAGAGTTTGAAAAGCCTAGATTTAGGACAGTAGGTAATGGGTAAATAGGTAAGGCCTAAAATCACATTACAAGAAAAAGTAAAGTCTACTCAGAATCCACCAATAAGCATTCACTGACTGTTGACTGCTTATTAGGGTTGCTGTCTGGTCCAGAAGGGATATACAGTCATATATATTTTTTAAAAAAGAGGCCCTGTCTTCAAAAAGTCTGCAAACTAGCTACAGATATAATCAGGAAAACATTAAAAATGAGTAGCAAATCCAGACACCTGTACTCAGGTTGAGGAATAACATGTGAAAGAGAACCTAACAGAGTGCCCAAAGACAGCAGGCACTCAACAAATATTATGTTAACAAAAAAAATGACATACTAGATTTTGGCCAGAGAAGAGTGATATAATACACGATAAAGATTCTGGAAACCATATATATATCAGGAACAGCTGCAGAAAATAGCGTTTCACTTGGAAGGGAAGATTTTTCTGGGGTATGCTATGAAGAAAGATTTAGGCTACCTGCCCAGGAGGGTGGAGCCCACTGAAAACAGCCCCCACTGGGGGCAGCTATTCAATTCTAGAGCAGCCTTCAGAAACCAGTGACAGGAAAACTATGCAGCTTGAAGATCTCTCTGGGTATCTTCTTGTTCTCTGGTTTCGTTTTTTATATATCTCGTTTAACCAACAAATCCATGAGAAGAAAGAACAGCCAGAATTGCTACCCACACTTTTAAGTACTAAAAACTAACACTCAGAAAAGTAAAATGATACCAGCTGGTTAGGAGCAAAGGTCTAAGATCAAAAGATATTCTTGGGTTGGGCACGATGGCTCATGCCTGTAATCCCAGCACTTTGGGAGGCCGAGGTGGGTGGATCACCTGAGGTCAGGAGTTCAAAACCAGCCTGACCAACATGGTGAAACCCCGTCTCTACTAAAAATACAAAAATTAGCTAGTCATGGTGGTGGGCGCCTGTAATCCCAGCAATTCAGGAGGCTGAGGCAGGAGAATCAGTTGAACCCAGGAGGTGGAGGTTGCAGTGAGCTAAGATCGCACCACTGCACCCCAGCATGGGCAACAAGAACAAAACTCTGCCTCAAAGAAAAAAAAAAGAAATTCTTGCTCTACCCCTTTACAAAACATGTAACACCATGGAAAGCTCCTTAGTTCATCTGAGCTTCTAATAAACTTCCAGTAAAGCTGATACTGCTGGCTCACGGATACCACTCGAGTAATAAGGCCAATACCTCTATGTTGTTGCAAGCATTAAATGAGGTCAGGACCTGGGACTAGAATGAAGTGAGTGAGACCCTTGCCTTGGGCTCAGAATTTAATGGAACATCAAAAAAACTAAAAAATCAAGATAAATAATATTTTAATGAAATATTTATTTAATTAAAAAAAAAATTTTTTTTGAGACAGTCTTGCTTTGTCACCCAGGCTGGAATGCCATGGCACGACCTTAGCTCACTGCAACCACCACCTCCTGGGTTCAAGTGATTCTTGTGCCTCAGCTTACCAAGTAGCTGAGACTACAGGCATGTGCCACCACATCCAGCTAAAAAAATTAAATTTAATGCAAAAAAAATTAATGATAAAAAAAATACCAAAAATTTACATTCAGAATCAGTAGCAGTGCCATACCAAATCATATTGCAGGCTGAGGCAAAAGGAAAATCAGTAGTACTTATTTAAGTTTTCAATGTTTTATTCACCGCTATTTTACATCAATTTTATATTTCTAAAATATTACCTTAAACGTCTATCTTGATTACTAGGTTTTTCTAGCTCCTTCTTAAATTGTATGCCCAAGTTTACTGCATCCGTCACCTCACTGTGGTCCCAGCCTGAATGAAACAATGTATGAGGCGTGCTCGGCACCGCGCCTGGCGTGCTGTGTACTCAGTTATGCCTTGATAGTTTATGACCACTGCATTGTTTTACAGACAAATGACACTTCAAAGACAGACTAAGGAGTAGACTCCATATTTCAGAGGCCTAAATCTCCTGTTCCATCGTCCAGAGAGCAAAAAGAACTTGGCTTCCAAGTCTGTCTCATTATAGTTAGGTCAAAACATGTTTATACAAGGCTCTCTGCACAGAGGTAAGTAATAAGTAATCTCAAAAAACTAATTTTGCAACTGGAAGACAAAATCTAAAATAAATGAGATTAACTTCAATAAAGAAATACACGTTTGAAAATCTGTCTTTTCATTTCCGGGTTAGCCTAGACTATTCAGGATCACTTAGCCAGAATTTTAAGAAATGTATAAAGACTCGTGTAACAGTATTTGTCTCATCACTTCACGCATCGTGAACAGAGCCAATGGGAAATCTCAAGGTTCACAGATTTTGGCCTGCATTACATCCAGCACTATAGTTCAAGGAGTTAAAAGCACCAAGCGGCATCTTTCAGGATGATTTTCCCAGCTGTACCCTGATGGACACATGGACAACAAATGTCACCTGTAGCCGTGTGTGCATCCACAGCTTCCACCCCAATGCCGTGCCACCCTGACACACGCGTCTCACCTGCGGAGGAGCTGGAACAGGGGCAGCTGCAGGCTCCACCATATTGCTCATTCTAGCAGGAGGAGGACAGCTGTTTGCTGCATAGTAATTTCGGAGTTTCTTACCATGATTTTTACCCTAGACATAAAAATAAAATGAGCACAGCAGTCTCCCCTTATCTGCAGTTTCAGCAATTTCAGTTAGCTGTGGTCAACTGTGGTCCAAAAACATTAAGATATTTTGAGAGAGAGCCCACATTCACATAATTTCCATGACAGTGTATTTTTATAATTGTACTTTTTCTAATTAGTTATTGTTGTTAGTCTCTTACTGGACCAATTTATAAATTAAACTTTATCATAGGTTATGTATGCACAGGAAGAACAAAAAATGCATATAGAAGAGTTCAGTAATATCACGGTTTTAGGCATCTACTAAGGATCTTGATATCTCCTGTGGATAAAAAAGAAAACTGCAGTCACCATGAGGGAAACGTGTCAAACTGAGTTAATCGATGTATTTGCTTAATTACTTAAGAAAAAAACACCAGTAATACTACATTTTATTCCTTCATACGTATACAACCCTGGGGTAAACAGACTACTAGCTAAAGTTGATTACGAGATCTTGAAGTAAAAGAGCCTACTCTTGTGCTCTAACAGAATGATTAAATTTATCTGGGAAAGATAAGAGAACAAAGCCAAAGGAAATCAATTTCCTATATGTTTCTAAAAAAGTATCACATTGTCCCAGAGCGGTGGCTCACGCCTGTAATCCCAGCACTTTGAGAGGCCAAGGCAGGTGGATCACCTGAGGTCAGGAGTTAGAGACCAGCCTGGCCAACATGTGAAACCCTGGCTCTACTAAAAATACAAAAATTACCTGGGTGTGGTGGCGGGAACCTGTAATCCCAGCTACTCAGAAGGCTGAGACAGGAGAGTTGCTTGAACCTGGGAGGCGGAGGCTGCAGTGAGCCAAAATCACACCACTGCACTCCAGCCTGGGCAACAAAGTTAGACTCCATCTCAAAACGAAAAAAAAAAAAAGTATCACATTTTCCAGTGACCTATGTCCTTACTCAACTTCTTGCCATTCATATGTCACTGTTAAATATGAATTTCATGACACTCTGATCTAATCTACTTCATAAGTTAGTAATAAAATGGATAATCCAATTATCCTTTAAAAATAGCACTTACAGAGTATCTTTATACAAAGGACGTTCATTGCATTTATTCATTTGCTGTTCACAAAAATCTTGTTAAGACGAATTTGTTAATATTGTCCATTTATGACAGCCAAGAAACTGCAATCCAGAGACTGTAAGGGACATGCCCTCAGCTCCCTTCTCAAGGCTAAACAGCACAGCCAAAGCCTGAGACAGGCCTTCCAAACCCAAAGAATGGTCCTTTTCCACTACAGCATGATAGCTTCAAGATGCACTAAGAACCTCTACTAACATGAATTTGCCTTTCTCATCACGTTTTAAGTTATTAGTCACATGATTGCATTCCTTGAACTGACAAACTAGTGGCAAGGGCCAATAGAACGAAACATTCTAAATAAGGATAAAACATACATTATTCTTTAAACTGCACTGTAAAACTCAAACCTGCAGGCAAACATTTATTCAGCATCTAGTTATATGCTAAGCCCTAGACATAAACTAAGGACTAGCAAGCACATAGAGGAGGAGACAGATACATAAGCAGCTAAACAGAGTAATCAACTAACAGCCATCTTCTCCTCACGTCAGTACCCTCAAGGTGCTTTTACCAAGGCCACAGTGAACTCCACAGTCAAATCCAGCAGTCATATAGCGCCTTCATCTTACTGGAACTCAAAGTAGCATGACACAGTTCATTTCCTTCTTGAAACACTCCTCCGACTATCATCTATATTCCGTCTTCCCTCCCCCCTCCTCCTCTACCAGACCTCTGAACTCCACAGTGTCCAAGGACCCACCCCTGCCCTCTTCTATGCTCTGGCTCTAGGTCATTTTACCCAGACCTATATTTTTCAAATACCATGAGTAAGTTCATGACTCCCAAAAGCATCAATCTCCATCCTTGCCCTTCGCAACCGTATATCCAACTGCCTCCTGGTCACCCACACATTAAAGTCTTAAGAGGCATATTCAACTTAATATAACTGTTGATTCTTCCTCCATAGAACTTTCTCATCACCATGGAAGACTTCCCTGAAAAGGGGGCCACTGACTGGTCTTTTTAATGAGCAAATGTTTACAGGGGAGGTTAAGAAGTAAGGGAAAGGAAAATTGTACACCGAGGAAACAGCATGAGCAAAAGCCCAGCCTTCTGTGTTGAGAGGCCACAGGGAGAGAGAACGGTCTTCTAGATCCTTTGGAGGAGAGCGGAGAGCAGAAACTGAAACACACAGGGGCTCATTCTTAATGGCTTTGCCCATGATAAAGAACGTGGACGTCAGAGGCAGCAGGGAGCCTCTAAGAGACTTTAAGCAAAGCAGTGCATGATGTGGACTGTCTTTGAAAAAGATGAGCATCAGGGTAGCAGATCAAAGCTGGAAGCTGAGAAGACACACAGAGGAGAGTCAAGAACCAAATCCTAGGCCACTAGAAGACAGAGTCTGGTAGAGAATGAAGACCCAGAAAATGAGATCCAGAATGCCTAGCCTACAAAGTAAGATAAAAATCTGACAGTGTGTTGTCACAGAAGCCCCAAACCAAACTGGCATTCAAGAGCGTAGTCAGGATGAAGACAGACTCTCAGGAATAATCAGAATGTGGATGGTATTTAAAGCTATGGAGTCAAAAACAATTCACTAGACAGAGTGGAGACAGATAAGAGCTTGCAAAACAGGCCTGAAGCAAGACAATGGCTGGATAAGGGAGAAAGAAACAGGAACTATGAAGAAGGTAAGAACGAGTAATAGCATATTGGATAAGAGAGTAGAAGGGAGGTGAACCACAGGGTAGATGTAAATATTTATGAAAATGTTTTAAAGGTGTGGGGAGGAAAAAAGTCTTTGGGGAAGAAGATAGAGTTAACATACTGAGACAACTCAAACACTACTGATGAATCCAAGAGACAGTGCAATGTATGGATTCGTGACAGCAACTAGAGACAGATAAACTCCTAGGCAGACAGGGTGGGTCTCTAGTGAAACCCAACCTTCATGCCAAAGACAGTTTAAATCCTGAAAACTGAGCTGCCAATTCCAGGCGAAGTCCACAACCAGAGTAAGAACTTCCTCAATGCCTTAACGTCAATTGAATGGTGCTTTTTTCCAAGCCTGTCCATGAATCCATCAGCATGTACTCCCCCATTCTGAGCTCATGAAAATCCCAAACTCAGCCCCACAGATGGCAAATCTGTTTTGGGTCCCCTCTCACACAGAGGGCTAACCACTCTTGGGGACCCTCTCCACTGAAGGCTTTCCTTCTGCTGCTTGATAAAATTCTTCTCTGCTCTACTCACTCTCCAGTGCCCATGTACCTTATTCCTCTTATTCCCCTTGGTCACAGGACAAGAACTCAGTATAGGCCGACCTGTAACACGCACTTGTTCACTGAGCTGCAGGTGGTGGGACCGAATGAGATGTAACGTGCTCCTGTTCGCCAAGCTGCAGGTGGTAGGAACAGGAGAAAGTTGCAATGTTTCTTGGAAGGTCAGATCTTGGGACTCCCAGGGTGAGAGTTGTAACACCCCCTAGGACTCCGCCACTGCTGACACCTCCAAGTTTTCAAGCACCACCTCATTCCCCTCGTCTAGATGCCAGCACCCAATGTAGAAGCTGCTGGCAACACACCCTGTGGAGCCAGGAGCTGGGTGCAGATCCCTCAGTGCGCGCAGGATCCAAGCCAAGCACAGCCTGCCAGGTTGAGCGGGTGGAGCGAGCCCAGTGGAGCAAGGCCCCAGGCAGAGGACACAGCAGCCACAGAGATTTCCGGCTGCTGAGGCAGCACCAAAGAAATCCTATAACACTACAACCCTCCCTCCCGCTCACCGAGCAATGGGAGAGAAAAAGCCACTGTATGCCAAGGCTAAGGTTTACGAATCTTCTAAAAACATGTGAGAATTTGGGTCTATAAATCTCACGGAAGATAACAGGGTTAAATAGTTACTGACTACCCTCTATGTTCTGACCACCATTCTAAGAAAAGGAGGTAAAACAGTGAACATAGGCAACGTCACTACCCTCAAGAAACTATTCTAGGGAATATAAACCGAATATATACATAAATACACATATCTCCAAACACACAACCAAAGGAAAAAAATACGAGTGACTGACAACTGCTCTGCAAAAAATAAAACAGGATGATATGACAGATGATGCACAGGGAGAAGGTGGGGTGGGCAGAGAAGGCTTCTCAGGGGAGACACATGTGAGCTAAAAGCTTAAGCATGAGATGGCTCCCACCGTAAAATGTAGAGAAGGGAAAGAGCTGGTCATCAAGAGACCCACTGACTGTGTTAAGTCTGAGATCCCCTTCAGATGTCCAAACACAGACCAACCTGGAGTTTACAAACAAGGTCAGGTTAGAGATAGAATCTAAGGAGTTATCAGTATGTAGGTGGAATTTAAAACCATGGAACTAGGGCCAAGCACAGTGGCTCATGCCTATAACCCCAGCACTTTTGGAGGCTGAGGCAAGAGGATTGCTTAAGCCCAAGAGTTCAAGACCAACCTGGGTAAAATGACAAGACCCTGTCTCAAAACAACAAAGAAACTTAGCTTGGCATGGTGGTGTTCGTCTATGGTCCCAGCTACCTGAGGGGCTGAGGTGGAAGGATCAGTTAAACCCAAAAGGTTGAGGTTGCAGTGAGCCAGCTGGGTGACAGAGCAAGACCCTGTCTCAATAACATAAAATAAATAAAACCACGGAACTAGGTAAGTTTCCAAGACAGCTCGGTGACTGAAAGCCAAGGACAAACCTCAAAGACACTACAATATAAAGTGTGGCAAAGAATCCAAAAAAAAAAGATTGAGAATGCCTGGCCCATGAAGTAAGATAAAAACGAGACAAGTGCAGTGTCACAGAAGTCTAGAACGAAGTGGTCCAAAAGAAAAGAGTCTAGTTAAATACATGATGACCAGGAGCTTTACTTCCACGGATTCCCAAACAGAAACATACCTTCCAGATATCCATAAGA